CACTGAAATGCAGGCACTGGCCAGTGAGTGGAAGCAACTGTCTGTACTTGAAACATCTGGTCGCTGGATGTCCTGTAGATAAAACATCTGGCAGGCTGACGAGGGCCTTCGTTTCCGTCCAGATGTTCTTTAGACACAGACCATTACATGAAATCATTAGTTGCTCTTGGCAACACGCCCGGGAGCTCTGAATCAGGCAGCTTCCTAAAGGGACTTCCTGTAAAGAGTTGGAGGGTGTTTCTATGAAGATGACTTATGCATCAGAAGGAAAGGAGTGATAGAGCGATGACTCTGCCAAGAGCCCTGGATCGCTACTCTGCAGGCCTGGAGGGTCTTACTTACCACAGGGTGTACACACAGAGGCTCGTCACTTCAGGATACAGCATCTCAGACCCACCCCAGCCTCCGCCCCTGAACCCCAGGCTCGCTGGCCCCAGGCTAGCAGAGATATCTCTGGTATTGCCATCCTTAGTGGACGGGAAAAACTGGGAGGGAAAGCACACGCAAACTTCCACTGTCTTCACTGGATGTGTAGGTGGTCCCAGAGCATCCTTTCTGGACAAGGATGGAGACACCCCATGAACAAAGACACCCTATCTTTCTGGCCTAGAGGTTTGGGTCTGTCGCCAAGAATGACTATAGCAAGCTCATGGAACCAAGGACACATCAAGCTAATTGAACTCTCAGAGGTCATCTAGCCCAGCCCCTCCTCCATTATGTGAATGAGAAACTTAGGGCTCAGGCGCAGAAAGTGACTTACCCAAGGTTAGAGCCGGTTCATGGCAATGACACAGATGGGCCTCAAACCGTTAACTCATGGCTGAGGCTCAGGCTTTCGCCATTGCCTTTCCTTGCATTTGCCGGCCCACCACTGCTGATGTGGCTTTAGGATCAGCAGGGGTCTGGGGTGGGGGGGACGGGGTACCCAGGAATCTGGCTCACCCCTTTACTCTGTGTTTAGAAATGGGGGAGGCCGCAGCGGAACCTTCTGTGCCATCTGCAGCGTGTGTGAGATGATCCAGCAGCAAAATATCATTGACGTGTTCCACATCGTGAAAACGCTGCGTAACAACAAGTCCAACATGGTGGAGACCCTGGTGAGTGTCCCAAGAACTCTTCTCCAACAGCCCGGGGGTGGCCCTAGCTCCCTGGACCTGAAGAACACAGCGCCAAATAGTAGACACACTCAACGACTGGGCGCTTAGTGAGTGCCTGCAGTCTACCCGCTTTGCACACACTGCTCTCTGCTCTGCTTTCCTCGCTCCCAACCTCGCCAACTTCTCTTTCCTGCACGCCAGTCCAACTGTCTATCCCGGTATGTGTTTCAGCCCCACTTCGTTTTACTCCCTGCCCATTCTTTAGGAAAGGATCACATCACAGTTCTGGATGAGTGGAGTGTGAACTATGTTTTCAATTCAGTCCAGTCCTATTATAATCTATGTTTGCAGTATCAAGTATTGGTCTAGGACACTATTGGTCTAGGACACAAAGAGATGGGGCAGGCAGAGCCCCAGGGGATAGGATAAGACCTAAGACCCACTGCAATGATGGAGACAGGCCATGCACTGGAAATTTGCACACCAGTCTTTAAAGCTACTCTAAGCATGGTCCTACTCAAACTCAGGTCCATGGACCAGCAGCCCCAGCATCACGTGGGAGCTAGGTACAAAGGCAGAGCCTGGAGCCCCACCCAGACCTACTGAGTCGCCATCTGCATGGATAGTTCTCAGTTAACGAACGGTTAGCACAGATGTGGATACAGTGTTCTCCAAAAATCTCTGTCTCTAAACGAAATGCATTTTCCGTTTCCTTTTGGTTTCTGTCTTGTCTCCCCTTCTCCCTCCTGCCTCTCCTCCTCGCAGGAACAGTATAAATTTGTATACGAGGTGGCCCTGGAATATTTAAGCTCCTTTTAGCCTGATGGGATGGGGAACCTGCCGGCATCCAGAGGCTGTGCAGCCAAGCCCGCTTTCTGTGGATGGCAGTGACTGGGCTTGGGCTGACGCGGCACCCTGCCCAACTCCAAGGAGAAGACTGGTGGTCCCGTGTTCCACAGTGGGCTCTACACCTTCCGAGGGGTCCCCTGTACCTATGAGAGCTGCAGCTCCGAAAGGCCCTGGCCTCCCTTCCACACCCGAGCAGCCACAGCCACGGGCCCACGCAGCAGTGTACCCATAACAAGGCCCCGGATTTCTCGGTTCCCCGAACTCTTGCTTTTGCTCTGTTCAACTGTGTGAACCTCATGGCGAGCCAATCGTGCAGGTGCTGGGAGTGGCTGGCTTGGCAGCACCTCCTCTACTGCTCCTTGCAAGTCGGGGGGAGGGGGGCGGGTATCTTCTCCTTCTCCAGCTATCGTGGAAATGATTGGGTTCTTGGGGTCCCTGCTCTGCTGCCCCCTGCAGTGACTTTTAGCACCAGACACCTGGATCATGTGACCTGAGGATGCTCCGGAGACCTCAGCAGTGGCCCCCATCCTGCCACCCGGCCTGCATGGGGCTTGGCCCATGACCATTCTGCACCCCTCCCCCAGCCTGGCCCTTGGTCTTCTGTCATTCACTGGCCAGCCTGCTGTGTCTACAGCGCGCTTGGATAAAGGTTTTCTTTGCGTTTTTTTTGTGGTCCGTGGGAGGGGGTGGAACTGTAGGGAATTGGCTGTTCTTCCTTGTCTTTGTGAAAAGGGACCGCCGCCCCCTCAGAGGCAGAGCTCTCACTGATTCTGTGTCCCTTGGGTGGCGGCTCCTTTGCGAGGGATGCACAGGAAAAGATTTAATTATTTTCCAAAGTATATATTAAAAGAAACATTTTTTAGGGGAAGGGAGCAGTGTAAAATCTTAGTCTCCTATGTCAAAAAAAAGAAATGCAGGGAAGGGAGGAAGTTTGGATGTAGCTATAAGACAAATCCTCTCGGGCCTGTAATCTTTCCTGAAAAGATCCTTAAAAGGTCCCACCCTGGGACAGCACAGCCACTGAGCAAGGGAGAGACGGGCTAGTCTGAAGATGGTCCCTTTGGTTTCTGGGGCACCAGCATTGAGCATAATCTTGACTCTCCACATTCAAAGTCCTAGAGAAATGCAGCTGCCATCTTGAAAAAGGCCACCATGGACCCACTTGTGCTTCGGTTTAAAACAGGCCACGAGCATCACACCTGGGAAAATTGGGTCTTGCCCAAAGTCTGGGTGAGTCCATGACAGGGAACCAACATTTGTTACCAGGTGTGGCACATTCCACGTGACACACACACCATCTTACAAGCCCCAAGGGTGAGCTGTTAACCTTTCATCACCTCCGTGTGCCAACTGAGGAAACGGAGGCATCCTCCTGAGTGGTGAAATGGTGGGTCCCCAAAAAGGCGAGTAATGGCGATGACACTTATTTTCCTTGTTTCCTTCATCCTCTCTCAGCCAAGCAATTATCTGATGGAGGGGAAAATAAGGCCAGGGACTTCTGAGCAGAGAGCTTCACAAACAGAAATGTAATTCTTCCTTTCTGATGTCAGTTCTTCTGGGATGCCCAGAGTTTCAGATATATTTTAGTGCCTCATTCTCAGCTCCCTAGGAAAGCTAGTCTCATCTAAGTTCTTAGCCAGTGAGAACAATTCCCTGTTCCCTCAGGCTCAGAGGTCTGCCAGGCAGGGCCGCTCTCTCTTCGCTAGTCTCCAGAAGGTGGTTGGGCACAGTATCTGACAGCCTCGGGGTGGCCTGGGATAGGCAGCTCCTTCTTGGAGGCTGGTCAAGCCCTAGATAGGGCACGGAGAGCACAGAATTCAATAAGCCACCGTGTTCTCCCTCCAGAGCTCACTGCGTGTGTGTGGAGGGGGGACTGAACCCCATACAGTGCACAAGTGTTCTAGGAGCCTAGGAGTAAGAGAGACCGCCTAGGGCTTCCTGGAGGAGGTGACATACATCCCAGCTGGCTGGCAACAGACAGAATAAGGAAGAAAAGGAAATTCAGGCCAAGGGATCAGCATGTGCAGTGGCAGAGGTATGGAAAATCCTTGGGGCGGGGGGCAGTATGGTGGGACATCAGCCCACCTAGAGCATAGCGTGGCAGGAAAAGGGCAGGAGGCGAGCCAGGGTGAGGGTGATGAGTGCCCGGCCAAGAATACAGACTTGGCCCCGGGCCACCAGGAGCTTCTGAGTGTTGTGCTCAGCTCAGTGTCGGAGAAGGCTCCCTCTGGGGCCGGAGGGCTGCCTCTTTTCCTTTCATCACACACTGTGAAAACATTCCCTTACGCGTGTACTTTAATATCACATCTATTTGTCTGTCTGCTCATTATTTTGTTGCTGGAACAAAATATGCAGTGGATGATGAGACTGTACTTCTGTGAGAAACCAGGTCTCTGCTCTACCACGGAGCAGGGTGACCAACCCAGAGCCCACAAGGAGGGGACACAAAAGGAGCCCCCAGGAGCTGCTCCTGCTGGCCCGGGCTCTGAGACTGTCTGGAAAGTCCAGGGACCCGACTCGAGCAAGGAAGGGCTGTCATTTGGGAGGTTCAAAAGGAAGCATCTCAAAGCAAAGGAAGGCAAAGGAGCCCCTCGACAAACTCCCTCTTCTTTCATGGGCCCCTCCCCGGGTGGGCTTGAGCAGGTTCCCAGGCTCCAGTCCCCACTGGTCCTGCCTACGTCCCCAGCTCCAGCCCACTGCTCCAGCCGGCCTCCCCCGAGCCTTCAAAGAGCCTGCAGCATAGCAAGTCATCCTGTTAGATGCTCTCTTCTCAGATCTTGGTTCATTCGTACAGAACCAGAGGGGGCAGGGGCGGGGCTCCCTAACACAAATCCTAGGATCTGTTCTGCTTAGGAACGGGTAAAATCACTGGCCGATAAAAAAATGGCAGTCGTGGCTATCATTTCGAATGGTAGGAATTGAAAATGTGACTTCAGGGAGAAGGAAAATTATAAAAAACTCGGGCTATGGTAACCCAAAGGCCGGGGATGGTTCACCTGGCTCGTCCCCTCATTTCCACACAACCCAACCACCTGCCCAGAAGGCAGGGCAGTGAATAGGCCTTAGGCCAATGTACACAGGAAGCAGCTGAGGCTTAGCGATGGGGATGCCTTTCCCAAGATCCCACAGGGCAAGGGTGTGGCAGGACTTGGATGAGATGGGGCACTGGTGCCCAAGAATTTGGACTTGGCCCCTTCCCTTGGAAAGCTGAGCAAATACCCGCTGCCCCAAGGGATTTCCCCACCCTTCCCCACTTACAGGGGGGCTCACCTTGCGCTATGCAGAGGAAAAGGTGCATTTAATGCTGAGTGTCCACAACAGGGGCTAGCCTCTGGTCTCTGGGGTGCCAAAGGGGGTGCTCCCACTTAGTATAGAGCCTTACAGTTCTCACCTCCCAGTTAGAGACCCTGTTTGGAGAAAACGCAAGGAATTAATGAGAAGCCAGGAACCGTCCCCACCTGCGTATGCTTATGGCCTAATAGCTTCAGGATACATCTCAGCTGTACCCAACATTGGGTCCGCTCACTTTTTCTGGTGTGAAGATCCTGGTTCCCCCAGGGGCCCCCTGACTCTCTAGATGGCGAGCACATGCCTCCCTTCATGGGAACAGAGGGGTCAGCTTGCTCTTTTGGGCCGCCCTCTCTCTGGGTGTGGCCTGAGCAATGGGCTGCCAGATCCGAGCTCTCACATGGGGCCAGCAGACTGGCCTGGGGACTCTAACACGTGAGCTCGCTGAATGCTCAATATTCCTAAAACGTGTTTGTGATTGTCACCATTTGACAGATGAGTAAACCGAGATTCAAGGGAGAGAAATCACTTATTTGTCCACAGTTCCACAGCTAGTGAGGAGGGAGCCAGGATTTAAACTGGTTCTTTTTACGTCGAAGACAACGTTTTTCCACCATTGTGTCTCAGATTTTCCCACAGGATTGCCCATAACAGCAAAAGCTCGAGTAAACCAGGGGCTCTTGTAAAGCCCCAAGCAGACAACAGTAAGCTTGAAATTCCCTCACAGTTTCATGTTTTCCTTGAACAATCATGCAATATTTGCATTCCACTCTAATTTAGCCTGATTTCTTTTAATATGACAGTATAAATATGTTTAACCACACGTACCCTGTCCCTCATGTGTCTTTGATCCCCTCAACTAGCTATGATGGACCCCAGGGAAGGGTGAGTCTGAGAGGCACAGTGCCTGAACCATCTGCTTCCGCCTGCGGCCAGCTCCAGACTCAAGTTCAAGTCCAGCTCACTCCCTCTAGGCAGGTCCTTTGCTGTGAGGGGGGTGCCCTGTGCCCTGACCTCACCGTTCACAGGTTGATCTCCACTCGGGTCTCCTCCAGATGGATTCTGGAAGGAAACCGTTGACATATACTAGAATGATGAGGACAGGCCCACCTGGTGTAGCAAAGACTAAACCCATAAAACCCAAAAGGGAAAGAAGACAGACACGGCCTTGCTCAGCAGATTCCTGAACGCTGCGCCTATTAGAAGCTGGTGCCCTTTGTCCGGGGGGGAGTCTCGTGGTTGCTAAGATGCGCACATCTAAGGACACACTTCCTAAGAGGGGCTGTGGTCTGGAAGGCTCCTCACGTGCCTTCAACTACGCATACTTACTGGGTTCCTAAAACATGCAGGGCCCTGGAGGGGGTGCTTCCAGGAAGTACAGGTTACTACGGTACAGCTCCTCTGTTGCTGAGTCATGGGGCTGTCATGGAAAGAGCCCAGTCTTCAGTTCTATTCCCAGCCCAGCCATTCCTTGGCTATAGAATGTTGGGCCAACCAGTTAATGGGAAAAGATGTGAAAAGAGGAGCCTCGGCCAGGTAGAAGAGGTAGAGCTGGAAAGCTTTGGGCAGGGAAACAGGAAAACAAGGCCAAAACGCTGGGACCCAAAAGGAATTCTCAGAACCAAGGATGTATATGAACGAACGGGGCACAGTGGTTGCTTCTATGACACAGCAGGACAGGGGATGGGGAGGGACTGGCCAGATCCAATTGGAGCAAGGATGTGACTTTACAATAAGTCTCAGCGTCTTAGAGCAAAGGTTATCATTTTCCCTCTGACCAAAAATCATATTAATTCGTCACCTGTTCCCTGTGGCTAAGCTAGCCCCTGCTGTGTGTCCTCGCCAGGACCCACATTTGCTCAGCTCCGGTGTGAATACCTGTTGTGTGCATTGAGGTGTCAGCCTAGCAAGGCGCCTGCAGACAGCAGAAGTGAGGACCAGGAAGGAACACCGGGCACTTACGTCATCTCTGCAGGAGTAACTGCCCAACCCAGATCCAGGGACACTGAAGGAGACTGATAATTCTCCTGTACCTCATGGCCTTAGAAAAGAATGAAGAAAGCCACCCTCCCTTAGCCTGCATCTAATCTCTCCTGGGTTGGACAGACAAGCCATCAGCACCAAGCTGAGTCAGGAGAAATGCCATGGAAACCGTGGGTGAACCCAAGGGTAAGGTGAGCAGGATGCTCACCCTAAACCATAAAGCCAACACATCGTGTTGGGCCAAGCTCCCTGGGAACAAATAGTCAACCCAAGCTGCAGGGCGGTCAGGAGATGAGACATGAGTCACCCAGATGGCCACTTCATCTCAAAACCCTGACGGCTTCCCCCATCATCCAACTAGTCTGAGTTCCTTCTCAGCCAATGATGCCAGCTCCAAATCACAGCCAAATCAAACAGGGAAATAGGAAAAGTGAATCCAGCTAAAGGAGACCAGCTGAGACTCAGCCTTTCTCCTAATTCCCATGCAATGGTTCCATGTTGGAGGTTTGCCATGTTTACAGAACTGGAAGTGGTAAAACACAAGCCCTTGGCTTCCCCTACCAGAGACCTGCCTTTGAGATCATATACTCACTGAACAGCAGAGAGAGGAGTCAGTGGCAGAGGATGGAGGGCTCCAGTTTCCTCTGACACATATTTCAGGGTCATGGACATGATCCTGAGAAGCACAGCAGAGAAGTCTAAGCCGTGTTTGTGCTCATGAGCAAACTCTCCTCTGCTTTATTGGTAACGAGAGAGAGGCTTTTGCATGGCACTGGCTATACAAGTGTCTTGTAGAAACCAACACTATCTCTTGGATGCATCCTGCCTACTTCCAGAAGAGGCAGGAGAAGGTCATCAAAAGGATCACATTCACCCCCTGAAATCCACCCACGAGTGTTAGGGCCGCTAGAAGAGGCGTCAGCACCCATAACAGTAGACCCCAGGCCTTGCATCCTAGTTATCTATGAGGTTGGGGGAAGTCCATTGGGGCTGATACAAGGGGTGTGGGAGGACTCAGCACAGCAGAGGGTCCAAGGGAAGCGCTGTTGGGGCTTGGTTACCGTGGAACCTCCTTCTGGATCTGAGAGCTGCTATGAATGGCGGGATTTGAACCTTTGGCTGGGATGTTCAGAGAGTGAGGGTCTGGGGGCCTTAGAGTGTTGGACAGGAAGGCATTGGAATTAAAGCCTGGAGCTCAGCGTAATTAGTGGAACTCATGGTTCCTCGGTGAGTGGGTCTCCTCTATTTGGGGGAGGTAGGGGAATGTGAAGTAACCTGCCAAAATTGCAAAACTGAGTCCCTGTACACACACTGCAGTGCCTTTGGGCTTGTGAATACAGACAGTGGGCCTCTTATGTGATGATCCAAAAAACTCTCAGTGCCGCCATGCCCCTCTCTCTCCCATGGAAGAAATGATATAAGATGTTCCTTGGGCCAAAGCCCCAGGGCAGTCTAGAGGCTCGGAGGGCAAAGTGGTGTCATCCCAGCTCAAATCAGTCTTCTGAAGGGTCGGACAAAACACTAGTGCCCACACCCTCCACAGGTCTGCACATTCTTAGACAAATGCAAGCACAGTTTTCTGGTCCCAGGTTTCTCCGATGAGTAGAACTAGGACCAATGGATGAAACTTAATAGCTTAATGAAGGAAGAGTTTGCTGCCCATCTCAGCAGCGGTCCAGCAAAAGCCAGACATCTCTTTAAATGGAAGCAGGAGCACTGCTGAGATGGCCTTTAGGTTCCTTCCACGCTAGGTGGGGGAGAGCTTTTGGGGCTGGGATGGTGTTTGGACTCCCGTGCTCCTGCAGAGCACAGAGCACAAGCAGGTTGTACTTGGTTTATGTAGGTTGGAGCCCCCGGTTCTCCTGCCCAATCTCCCCACCACACAGGCCATGCTGCTCTGGCTACATTGGGGGCTCATTCTGGCTGGTTCTCACCAAACAGCCCAGAGAGAACAGCTGCTTTTCCATAAAGCCGATGCCCGCCAAGATCTCTGATTAGACCAGGCGTAATTCAGACCACTGGCCGTTGGTGACAGCCAGAGCCAGGAAAGGTCCAAGCAGAACCAGAGCAGGGCTCTGCTTGCCATAAACATCATTTCCAGAGGTTAATTCTACCCCCACTCCCCACTCGAGGCCTGTTGGAGCAGATTGCACAGCAAAAGCACAGTGACACTTGACACATGATTGTCATCATTCCCACCATTATCCATTCCATTGCCAGGTGGATCCTGGTGCTAGCCCAGGTGAATCCAGGCTAACCCACATTAGAGATCAGACTCAAAAGCACTTTTCTACCTTCTCTTTTCACCCTACATCCTACTACCCAATGAGAAGCAAAGGCTCGGGGCTTCTACCATTGCCTTGGTTACTGGACACCATCATAGCCCTCTAGGGCCATCACGGGGTTCCCACTCAACTCCCCGGAAACTGATATTGTCACATCCACGGGGCATATGACATTGCATGAGACCCAAGTCTCCACACTGTTCGCAGCTTCCTCGTGAACCCCAATGGCCTGCACTTGTACAGTTTGGGTGTTTGATAGATAAAGCACGTACAAGAAGAGAAAACAAAATAAATCAACTTTTTACAAAAGCCAGCACTGTGCTGTCAATGTTCTTTTTTTTTTTTTTTTTCCTTTCCAATTCTAGCTTAAGAAAGCAGAAGGTAAATAATGTCAGGTCAATGAATATCAGATCTATTTTTTGACTGTACATTACAGTGAAGTGTAATCTTTTTACACCCGCAAGTCCATCTTATTTATTCTTGTAAATGTTCCCTGACAATGTTTGTAATATGGCTGTGTCGAAAGTCTCTACAATAAAGCTGTGACCCTGAGATTCATGTTTTCCTAAGATATTTGCACTGGTGTCTTTCTGGGGTGGGGTGGCGGTGAGGTGGGTACAAGTTGAAGAAGGATGAGAAAAACCTACAGGTCTCTTTATGTTCATTTAATCCTCACATCTAAGACCCAGGAAATGTGTATTATCCCTTCTTAGCAAATGAGAAAGTTGACGTTCCTACACATTAAGGGGGTTTCCGTGATTGCACCTTGCACTAGTAAAAGGGTAGAGTCTAAAACAGTTTTCCTCAAGTGTGGTCCACAGAGCACCGGCATCCGAATCACTCGGGAAGTCTGTCAAATACGCACATTTGAAAGCCCCTACAGAATCACAATTTCAGGATCTGCATATTGACAAGCTGCCTGGACACGTCAGCTAGCTATTGCCGCGTAATATGCCACCCCAAAGCTCAGTGACTTGAAACAACAGTCCCTTATGGAGGTCAGCTGGGGCTTGGCCGATCCAGGCTGAGCTCAGCGCATCTCAGTTGGGCTGCTCATGGGCCGGCTAAGGACTCCCCTGTAGGTCAGGCTTTCCTGGGACGCCTTGGCTAATGCAGCTCTCACTCTCGTCCTGGGCCAGCAAGCTAGCCTAGGTAAACGCTTCTCATGGTGATAGCAGGAGCATGAGAGAGAAAGTCCAACCCTGTAAGTCGTTTTGAGTCACGTCTGCGACATCCCATTGGACAAAAGCTGGTTGCACAACATACTCAGAATCAAGGGGCAGGGAAATACACTCCACCTGTTGACACTGACCCTGCTTCTCAATGTTCCAATAAATGCTGAGGTTCGGTACCGAACCAATGGTGCCAGAGGCAGCCTTCAAGCCTCTCATCTCAGAAGGTGGTCCACAGATCCACTACATCAGCTCCCCTGAGAAACTTGTAAACATGTAGGTAGAGTCTGATTCAATAGGCCCAGGATGGGTCCTGGGAATCTGCCTGCTTACCTAGCACCCGGTAATACAGGTGATGGTAATACACACTGATATTCATCATGATAATACATTCAGGTGCCCTCGCCAGGAGGGACACCAACCCTTGTGTGCCCCAACCATGAAGATTGACCAGCATAGCACAACTCTCTTTCCATGTGAGACCCGAGGCAGGTGTAAGTTTGCAGACTCTGGGGTGTTATGCAGGCTGACTATCGCACTGCTCTCCTCTCTGAATGCCTGTGAGTGAGAGGCTTTTATCTCAGACAATTACCAGATATCTGAGTGGTTGGTTTAACATGAAGCCTGGCTTTGAGAGTCATCTGAGCCAGGAAGATTAATATCTCCTTTTGAATGAAAAAGACCCTGACAGCTCTCCATGCCCAGATAGAAGGTGAAGTCACCCCTCTATGGGGTGAGCAAGGCAGGACCAAGGAGCCAACCCCATGACCATGACTGACTCCATCTCACCCTAGTTTCCTCTACAATGGCTACAAATACACAGTAAAAGCTGGAAACTTGACCACCGAGCCATTATTGAGTGAATCTGGGAAAAGATTCTTCTGATTATGAGACACAAGGAGCTAAAATGAGAATCATGATCAGTGGTTCATGCAGAAGACATTTTGCTACCTAGAAGATATAAAGAAAACACAGTGTAGAGAAATGCAAATAAAAACCACAATGAGATACCACTTCGCTCCGGTCAGAATGGCTATC